CCTCCCTGCTCAGCAAGGCATCTGCTTCTCCCTCTGCCTCTGCCTCTGCCTTTGCTCTTGCTCTCAAATAAATAAAATCTTTAAAAAATAAAATCAAAAGTAAATGTAAATAAAATGTTCAGTGGCTTTCCATCACATTTAAAATAGAATCCTAATTTCTAGTTTTTAAAACTAAGACCTTCCAGCTCCTATACAATTTGGCTTCTGCCTACTTCTTCAAACAGTTCATTCTAGCCCCTGCTTACTTTTATTTCAGTCTTATTCTCGTCTCTCTTCTTAAAGCATGCCAAACTCTTTACCACTTGAAGACTTTTGTGTCTATAATCCCACGGCCTGGGGTCCTTTAACTTCAGGCCTTTGCATGGTTTGCTTTTTTGAGTATTCAGAAGATCTCTGCTCAAATTTTATTCCAAAAGCACCTCTCCTCCACACCATCACTCTCCATTCCCTTATTCTGCTTTCTTTCTTTCTTTCATAGCACTTATCACTACCTGGAATTATACATTATGTGTTTGCTTTACTTGTTTTTTTTTTTTTTTTAAAGATTTTATTTATTTATTTGAGAGAGAGAGAGTGAGAGAGAGCACATGAGAGGGGGGAGGGTCAGAGGGAGAAGCAGACTCCCTGCCGAGCAGGGAGCCCGATGCGGGACTCGATCCCGGGACTCCAGGATCATGACCTGAGCCGAAGGCAGTCGCTTAACCAACTGAGCCACCCAGGCGCCCTTTGCTTTACTTGTTTATCTTCTGTGTCTCCCTACAGAATGTAAAGCCCATAAAAGCAGGACTTTCTTTGTCTTGTTTTTTGCTGTATCCCCAGGGTTTAGGACAGTGCCTGGTTTACAGTAAACATTCTGTAAATATTTATTGAATGGAAAACATGTTTTCAGTACATTCTCCAACTCTATTGCTTATCCTTCAACTTTGTTGTTGTTTTTTAAGATTTTATTTATTTATTTGACAGAGAGAGATACAGCGAGAGAGGGAACACAAACAGGGGGAGTGGGAGAGGGAGAAACAGGCTTCCCGCCGAGCAGGGAGCCTGATGCAGGGCTCGATCCCAGGACCCTGGGATCATGACCTGAGCTGAAGGCAAACACTTAATGACTGAGCCACCCAGGCACCCCTCAACTTCGTTTTATAAAGACCTTTATTTGTAAAAAAAAAAATTCGAGGTAGTCAAATGTATTAGTCTTTTCTATTTTGTTTTTAACTCTTTTGTGTTTTGTTTAAGAGTACCTTCTCCTTGGGGTGCCTGGCTTACTGGTCAGTATAGCATACAACTCTTGATCTCGTGGTTGTAGGTTCGAGCCCCGTGTTGGGTGTAGAGATTACTTAAAAAAAAAAAAAATCTTTAAAAAGAGAACCCTTCTTCTTGTTCTGGTCATTTGAAAGTTCTCCAGTGATTTGAGTTGATTTGATCTGATTTGATTTATTTTTAAGATTTAAAAAAATTTTAAGTAATCTCTCTTCCCAATGTGAGGCTCGAACTCACAACCCCAAGATCAAGAGTTGCATGCTCTGCTGACTGAGCCAGCCAGGTGCCCCTTTCCAGTGATTTTAAAGTTTTATTTATTTATTTATTTATTATTGTTTTAAAAGATTTTATTTATTTATTTGACAGAGAGAGACACACACAGCGAGAGGGGAACACAAGCAGGGGGAGTGGGAGAGGAAGAAGCAGGCTTCCTGTGGAGCAGGGAGCCTGACATGGGGCTTGATCCCAGGACCCTGAGATCATGACCCGAGCCAAAGGCAGATGCTTAATGACTGAGCCACCCAGGCGCCCCTAAAGTTTTTTTTTTTTTTTAATGTTGAGGTCTTTAATCAATATGGAATATATTTTTGCATATGGTTTGAGATTGGATCTAATTTTTCTGAATAGCCAGTTGTCCTAATCAGCAAAGATTGTTTTCACTGTTTTGATTGTCCTTACTATAGACAGAGTGTTGTTTTTTTTTTTTTTAAAGATTTTATTTATTTGTTTGACAGAGACAGCGAGAGAGGGAACACAGGCAGGGGGAGTGGGAGAAGCAGGCTTCCCGCTGAGTAGGGAGCATGATGCGGGGCCAGGACCCTGGGATCATGATCTGAGCCGAAGGCAGACACTGAACCATTGAGCCACACCCAGGCGCCCCTTTTTTTAAATTAAGAAATGGAATGGACACTGATTAGAAGAATTAGGAATTAGTATATATTTTCCAAAGTAACTTCTCTATTGTAACTGCTCTTTCAGAGGAATTATATTTCTTTTGCTATGTGCCACCTTTCAATTGATACAATTATGGTCAGTGATAAGGTACTAAAAAACATCTCTTTTGGTTTCTAAATTTGTTTTTAACTAGGGAAGCACACAGACAGATGCCATGAAACTTCTATCTTCCCAGTGTTCCAGGCTTTTAAAAAACAAAGCAGTATTGTGCAAGCCTGTCACACAGACCAAGGCCACCTCTTGCAAACCACATACACAACACAAGGAATGTCAGACAGGTATGTGTCCTTGTGCTCTCCATATGTAGAAAGTTATTCTGTTTTGTTTGTTTTTGTTTTTTTAAGAAAGGCAAAGAAAATCATTTATAGTTTCTTAAATATGAAAATATTTATTCTTGGATCACATACTTTGAAAATCTAATTTATTCTTTTTATAATTCTCATTAACACTAATAACTACTAAATTGAATCCATCTGCACACACAGCATTATGTGTAGAGTGGACAAACATCTCCTCTGTGTGTGCACTGCTGTTTTTCAAATGTACGAACTATTACAACTACTAAGGTACAAATTTATTTAAAAGCATTAGTGATCTAAAAAAAAAAGCATTAGTGATTTAACCTTAGTTCTTTTTTTAAAAACACTCTGAATTGATTTGTCATTTACTGAAAGTATAACTATGTGTCTGAGGTGTTGGTGATCAGGAAAATTATTTTAATTCATACTTGGAAACGTTGTAAACTATTGCCCCAATCCATGTTAACTGCCACTACCCTTATATTTTCAGTTAGTTGTGTAGCCTACTCTGCCCGAAGCATTTTTTGATTTTTGTTTTTAATGATTATTTTACTACCCAGAACATAGTGTATTTAAAAGCATAGTCTGTCAACAAGTAATCATGAGTTTTTATGTAGGGTGCCTTTCTTTTGGTAGGAGTCAAGGAGAATCCTGTCTTCCTTCCAAAGTAAATTTGATTGTTTTATATTCCTGTTAAAATGATATACTCTTTGTGTACATGAATTTATATTATATACACATTCACATGTGGAAGGTAGTAAAGAATCTGTGGACATCCATATGTGTGGGTATGTGTGTGCTTGTATATATATTTTTTAAATTTCTAGATTAAATATTGGATTGTTTAAAATATACTGTTGTGAACTACTTTTTCATTTGACAGTGCTCATCAGAAGTATTCCATATCAATATAAATTTAAATATACATTGAGGTTTTTTTTTTTTAAGATTTTTATTTATTATTTATTTGACAGACAGGGAGAGACAGTGATAACGGGAACACAAGCAGGGGGAGTGGGAGAGAGAGAAGCAGGCTTCCCACTGAGCAGGGAGCCCAATGCGGGGCTTGATCCCAGGACCCTGGGATCATGACCTGAGCCAAGGGCAGATGCTTAACAACTGAGCCACCCAGGCGCCCCTACATTGAGATTCTTAACAGATGCATAGATTACAACGTATCCATCCCCCTAAGATTGGACATTGAGATTGCTTTTAGTTATTTAATATTATAAACAGTGTTAAGTTGTGTAAGTGGATTTTTGTTCACTTGTCTAATTATGTCCTTAGGATAAATCCTAAGTAGTAGAATTTCAGATTCAAAAGCTAGCATAGATTTTTAAGGCTTTTGGTATATGTTACAAAATTGAAAAATTACATCAGTGTTTGAGAACATCCATTTCTCTTTACCCTTATTGACACTGGGTATTCTAATAATTAACCTTTATTTTTTTCCTCAACTTTAATTTGGAAAAATTTCAGAATTCAGAAAGATTGAAAATATGGCACAATGAACATTAATATATCCTTCATCTCAATTCACCAGATGTTAACTTTTTGAAACTTGTTTTCCCTTTTTTCTGAAAATTTTAAAAATAAAATAATTTGTTCTTAATTTGATGTATCCGACTTCAGCCCTAATTCCAGTAATCTATTGAATACATAGCATTCATGTACTACAGCCTACCGTTTTGCTTTAGTTAGTGGCCAAGTTTTGGGCAAGGAGAAATTCAGTTTTTAATGGCACCATGGAAGTATCATGGTTTGGGTTTCAACTTTAATTAGTGTATTCTTTTGACAAATATAAATAGTAATGAAATATAAATTTTAAATATGTGGGGGAAAACATAATATGGCTTATTTCTTCTTGAAAATAACAGTGATTCAAATATTTTATTCAGATTTCCCTGTGCCTAATGAGAAACGTGATGCGGAACTTGAGTCTCCACCTGCAAAGAAAAAAAGAATAGGTTTTTTCCAGACTTATGATGCGGAATATTTAAAAGTTGGTTTTATTATCTGCCCAGGATCAAAAGAAAGTTCACCAAGGCCACAATGTGTCATTTGTGGAGAAATTTTATCCACTGAAAACATGAAGCCAGCAAATCTTTCTCATCATTTAAAGACAAAACATTCAGAATTAGAAAACAAACCGGTAGATTTTTTTGAACAAAAATCTCTTGAAATGGAATGTCAAAATAGTTCTTTAAAAAAGTGTTTACTAGTTGAAAAGTCACTTGTGAAAGCTTCTTACTTAATTGCTTTTCAAATTGCTGCCAGCAAGAAGCCGTTCTCCATTGCTGAAGAATTAATTAAACCATATTTAGTAGAGATGTGTTCAGAAGTTTTGGGTTCAAGTGCTGGAGACAAAATGAAAACCATTCCTCTTTCTAATAATACGATTGGACACAGGATTGATGAACTGTCTGCAGACATTGAAGATCAGCTGATTCAAAAAGTCAGAAAGTCCAAGTGGTTTGCCCTTCAGGTAGATGAATCATCAGAAATCTCAAATATCACCCTTCTTTTGTGCTATATTCGTTTCATTGATTATGATTGCAGTGATATAAAAGAAGAATTACTATGTTGCATTGAAATGCCCTCTCAAATAACTGGCTTTGAAATATTTGAACTAATAAGTAAATACATTGACAGTAAATCTCTGAATTGGATACATTGTGTTGGTCTCTGTACAGATGAGGCTGCAAGCCTGACCGGCAGGGGTTCTGCTTTCAGGGCAAAAATTCAAGAAATTGCCACGAATACAGTGGCATTTACACACTGTTTTATTCACCGTGAGCATTTAGCAGCAGCAAAGTTGTCTCCATGCTTACATGAAATTCTTTTGCAGTCAGCACAAATTTTAGGTTTTATAAAGAGCAATGCATTGAATTCACGAATGTTAACAATTTTGTGTGAAGACATGGGGTCTGAGCATGTGAATTTACCACTTCATGCTGAAGTACGTTGGATATCGAGAGGGAGAATTTTAACAAGATTATTTGAATTACGACATGAAATTGAAATTTTTTTAAACCAAAAGCATTCAGATTTGGCCAGGTATTTTCTTGATGAGGAATGGGTTGCAAAGTTGGCCTATTTATCAGATATTTTTTCACTTATAAATGAACTCAATTCAAGTCTCCAAGGAACTATGACTACTCTCTTCAATTTGTATAATAAAATGGATATATTTAAGGAAAAGTTAAAAATGTGGTTGAAGCGCACACAAGAGAATGATTATGACATGTTCCCTTCATTTTCAGAATTCTTAAACTCATCAGACTTAAATATGAGAGGCATTGCAAGCATTATTTCTGAGCACCTAGAAGGACTTTCTCAAATGTTCCATGACTGTTATCCACCAGAAGAAGACTTGCGTTCAGGAAATTTGTGGATAATTAATCCTTTTATGAATCACCAAAATAGTAATCTCACGGACTTTGAAGAAGAAAAACTAGTACAGTTATCTTCAGATTTGGAATTACAATCAGTATTTAAATCAATGTCTGTAACTCAGTTTTGGATAAATGCAAAGACAAGTTACCCAGAGCTCCATGAAAAGGCAATGAAGTTTTTGTTGCCTTTTTCAACTATTTATTTATGTGATGCTACATTTTCCGCTTTGACGGAGTCAAAACAAAGAAATTTGTTGGTTTCTGGTCCTGCTCTAAGACTTGCGGTCACATCTTTAATTCCAAGGATAGAAAAATTAGTAAAAGAGAAAGAATAGTAACATGGATCTGTTGCTTATTATCAAAGTCTATAATTTTGTGTTAAATTTTCTATAAGTACCCTAAAATATAATTTCCTAATGTGGATATGTGTTTTCAGTGATTAAATAAGTGTTTTAGTAATTTTGCTTTTTGTTGAGGAATTAATAATCATGCATTTATAAATTGTTATATATAATTCTATTAGTCCAAGGTAGAGAATTTAGCTGTTTGATCGATTGATTGGATAATCTGGATTAGGGACAAAAATGAGGGTAACAAAAGGCCCGTTTATAACCTACCGGCACACCTGGATGTTGAAACTGCTTGGCCTTTAGAAACACATGGGACGTCGCAGTCTTCAGCCAGGCAGCCCCCCACCCCAGCAGGCTGTGGGTAGGTACAAAACCAAGATCCGAGGGCGCCTGGGTGGCTCAGTTGGTTAAGCGACTGCCTTCGGCTCAGGTCATGATCCCGGAGTCCTGGGATCAAGTCCCACATTGGGCTCCCAGCTCGGCAGAGAGCCTGCTTCTCCCTCTGACCCTATCCCCTCTCATGCTGTTTCTCTCTCTCTCTCTCAAGTAAATAAATAAATAAAATCTTAAAAAAAAACAACAACCAAGATCCGAGCTGCTTGGCTAACCCAGAAATGGAAGCAGCGGAGAGTTTGAGACCCTTTGTAGGGGTCTCTGTGGCCCTCTCCACCAGGGCTTGGCCAACTTTTTCCATAAAAGGCCAGATAGTGTTTTAGGTTTTGCAGGCCGTATGGTGGCAACTCCTCAGTTCTGCGCTTGCAGCACAAAAGCAGCTGTAGGCAATACACAGATGAGTGTGGCTGTTTCAATACAACTTTTTATTTATGAACATTGAAATAATACCGTTTTCATGTGTCATGAGAGCTGCCTTTAAATTTTTTTGTATCATTAAAAAATGTAAACAAATATTGTTAGCTGGGGAGGGGGAGGAAGTGAAGAAACCAGACAGCTGACTAAATAATTTGGCCCACCCTTTGTCCATCTGGGTGTAGACAGATCTCCAGGTAATAGCAGATGGGCCAGGAGTAGCCTCTAGAGTTTTGTTCCGTGGAAGTCTCTCTTCCGCAGCTGCAAGGGTCTGAGTTTTTAAACACTTTTCACATTTTAATTTCAGCTGGGAGAAATTCGAGGGAAAATATATTTTACACAAAGATAGAAAAGAACAATTTATAGCTACTTGTTACTGATTACTAATTTCATAACTAACTTACAAATAACTTTTGAGCTCTTACATGTGCCAGGCTTTGTGCTAGGCCTGTTCTTCAGAACTAAGAGGCTTATCCGCATATACAGAGGCAGATAACTGAGGCCCACGAGGTTAGGTGGCAGCTCTGCTGGCAAAGCTAGGGACGCTCAGGCAGGAAGGAAACCCCGGTCTTCTGCGAGGCACGTTCAGATACTCCTGTTGGACTTGACTCTGTACTGGTTGGGAGACAAGAGACTTACCCTGAATTCAAAGGGGCCCATTTAGTCAGTTGAGCCAGTGGGCCTCAGTGTCCCCATCTGTGAGACAGACAGAAAAGGGGGGGTGGCAACAGCCTCGGGAGGCGAGGAGCGGGAGGCTCTGGCGCGGGTCTTCCGTCCGCCCTGGGCAGGGAGGAACCGAGACGGCGGCAGGGGGCGGGGTTCGGCCCGGTCTCCCCTCCCTTGCCCTGCCCTGCCCTCTCCTCCCCTGCCCGCCCCTTCCCTCTCCTCGCTCCCGGAGGGCCTGCGCGGCCATGGCGCTCGGGCTCCGCGCTTTGCGCGTCCTGCTGGGCGGCTTCTTCGCACTCACGGGGGCAGCCAAGCTTTCGGAGCAGATCTCGGCTCCCGCGTCCCAGCAGATGGTGAGCGGCGGGCGGGAGGGGCGGTCAGTCCCCGGCCCGCCTGCCCGAGCCGGTGCCTCACGGACCTGCCTGCCTTCCGGCGAGACGGCGCTAGAGCGGGGGCGGGGAGAGCACGTCGACCGAGACGTGGGCGCCTTCCTAGGGTGCTCCTCGGAGTCCTCTGGCTCTTGCCTAGACGGAAGGGGACGGGGCAGATCTCCTTCCAGCTGAGCCCTGGGGTCCCGCGCAAACCTAGGCGTCGGGACCCAGCGGGAGGAAGATGGAATGGAATAGGGGACCCAGCAGCCTCCCCGTCCTCTTCTCCTTCGCTTGCTTGCGTTCTTGGGAGGTTCGTGAGGAACGGGTTTATTATTCCCCGCTTGGTGGAGTAGGAAACTCGCCCTGAAGGTGAAGTGTATCTGCTAAAGGTTACACAGCTAGTCAAGACGCAGGAACCAGTCTAGACGCTCTCCTAACTCAGAATCTGGACAGCCCTTACCGGAGAGCCTGAGAGGAATGTCTGCAAGCCCTCCTTCTGTCTCCTGGCTAGTTCCAGACTCTTGGAAAAGCTTTCTTGTGGTTATACCCACCAATCCCTCCGCCCCTCAAATAAGCCAGACTTGGAGACCCTGCAGCCTCCCTCTCCCAGGCCTGGGTTCTGCCCTTCCTTCCTGGTTTAGGGTGGTGGATGGTTTGGGGAAGTACATCCCCAGAGCCAGACAGCTTAGAGCTTCTTCCCTGCAGCAGAGTAGGGAAGGTAGAGCTGAGGTGGGGAGTAGGAGGGCAGGAAGGGGTAGCCGGCCTGAGGGTGAAGTTGTCATGTGGCCCAGATCAGAGCCTGACTCAGCAAAATGAGCCTCTTTGAGCTCCTTACCCACTCTTGTGTCTACTGCAATGGGACCCAGGCCCAGCATACCATATTCAGAATGGGATCTGTTGAATAAGCAACCATCTACTCTTTCATCCTCTCCCCCACCTCCCAATATTCCCAGCATAGTATCCTCAGGAAAACCAGGCCAGGCCGCAAGAAAGAGAAGCTGTGGCATGCCTAACTTCCTGGTCTTGGACTTTGGGGCTGGGGTGTAATCCAATGAGAGTCTGGTGAGAAAATCAGTTCTCCTCTGCACCAACATCCAGCCGTTCTCCTTGGAGCATAAAGCCTGTTTCCTGATTCCAAAGCTCAGTCCCTCAGGGAGGCCCTCTCCTCTCTAGACTGACCTCAGCCCTGGACTGACCTACCTAGAAGGGTAGCTCCTTTGTCGGGGGAGTTGAGGGTGCAGATACAGAATGCCCCTGTGGAATGCCTAGGCAGTGGATCCTTGAGTGGGGCTGACAGGCATTCCTTGCCGCCCCTAGAAAGCCCTGTTTGTGCAGTTCGCTGAGGTGTTCCCGTTGAAGGTGTTCGGCTACCAGCCCGATCCCATGAACTACCAAGAGGCTGTGGGCTGGCTGGAACTGCTGGCTGGGCTGCTGCTGGTCCTGGGCCCACCGATGCTGCGAGAGATCAGTAACTTGCTTTTGACCCTCCTCATGATGGGTAAGGGGTGCAACCGCGCTGGGGAAATGGGGACTTCTGGCAGAGGGTAATAGAAGATCTGGCAGTTCTCTTTACTGTTGCCTCCTTTCCTTTTTTTCTGGAACCAGGAGCACTCCCTGCTCTACTGCAGTGTCCACGGTCTTCAGACTAGGACAGGTGCTTTTTAAACTTAATATATTATAACGTGATTCTATGTCAGACATAACTTCCCGCCTCACTGATTCAGTTGGCTGCAGGGTATCCCCATGGTAAATATGTCTTGTAACTTAAAAGCCCCTACCCCTCCCTCCTCACCCCTACTCTTGAGCTGAGGGGATGGAGTAGCAGGTGCCTGTGGAGTTATGTGTCTGGCAGCTGGGAACAGAGAGCTAGGAAGCTGGGCCGGCCCCCTGAACAGGAAGGCAGAGAATTTCCCTGTGACAGGCAGTCCTAGAGGAACCCCTCCTAGCTGCTGTGCCCACAGGAACTGCTGACGTACAAAGACAGCTGCTGCTTCAAAGGTCAGACGTCTTCAGGCTCATCTCTACCCGCTGGCCTCGTGTCGCCGTTGCGGCCATGCCTGCCGCCCCGACCCCAGGCCTTCCTTCGATCTCTGGAACTTCCCTCATCTTCAGATCTTGCCCATACCTCCACCACTAACCCCCCGGGCCGCCGTCTCTCCGGTAGGATTAAGAAGGGAGAAGGAGCAGAAGTTGTTCCAAAATGCCCATCCACCCACCTCCCTGTTCTATTCGGCAGGCTTGTTCCTATTTCCTTCTCACCCTCTGAGAGTGGCTACGTTAGTTCAGGGGGCTTCTGATTCTTGGTTCTGTTCTCTTCTGGGGGCCAGAGAGATGAGGGCAGCTAGTTTAGGGTGTATGTGTGTGGTAGGGAAGTGCTGAATGGGAGGGCTTGAGCTGGAGTGGGTCAGGGAGCCTCATGGACCTCACTTTCCATTCCAGGGGCTATCTTCACTTTGGCATCTCTGAAAGAGTCACCAAACACCTACATCCCACCTATCATCTGCCTGGGGCTCCTGCAGCTGCTGGATATCTGCCATCTCTGAGTCCAAAGAAAGAAAGTGGTCAGGCCCACCAGGAAGAAGACTCTTCCAAGTGCATTCAAGGAATCCTGGGAGTCGATGGCCTCTTGCCTCTTCATGCCATGTCACTGTCACGGCAGAAACATGGTGGAACACACAGTCTACCGCCTTGTTACCAGTACGTCCAGGGTTGGCCAGTGTTGAAGTAGACATCTTATCTACCTGACCCTGCTTTCTGTCTTGGACATTTACTGCTCTTTTTTGAGGGATACGTGTTAAACATACTAACATTCCTCATGTCATGTGAAAATAGAAAATAAACAGAAAAGCAACTTAAATCACCCCAAATTTTAATGCACCAAAATAACTACTATTAATTCCTTTTAATAACTGTACCATTCAACTTTTTCTATGCCTTTATACAGATATTTCTTAATGAAAATGAGACAATATAAATTATTACCTGCTTTTTAAAACTCATATACTGTAAGACCATTCCGTGTCTGTCTTACCTCATTGATGTTAACGGCTGTATATTATTCCATCATAAGGGTGTACTGTAATGTATTTTTTCAAGCCCCCACTGAGGAACATTTAGATTGTCCCCATTGTTTTGCTATTGTACACTTCACAGTAAATCACCTTTGCATACTTACTGTCTTTCCCTAGAAGTGAGGAGAGAGGGTGGGTCAGGGCAGAGGGAGAGGGAGAGAAGAATCTTAAGCAGGCTCCATCCCCAGCAAGGAGCCCAGCACGGGGCTTGATCTCATGACCCTGAGATCACGACCCTGAGATCACTACCCGAGCTGAAATCAAGAGTCAGACATGGGATGCCTGGGTGGCTCAGTCCATTAATGCATCTGCCTTCAGCTCAGGTCATGATCCCAGGGTCCTGGGATCGAGTCCCGCATCGGGCTCCCTGCGCATGTTAGATGTGGAGAGCTAACAAAGATGGGCACAGCATCATCGTTTTACAGGCTCTGAAACTGCTGCCTTTGGTAGTGAGGTAGGGCATCCACGGTGGTGCTTCCTGGATATCTACGTGGAGGCAGAGGACAGCCAGCTCCAAGGGACGCTGTATGGTAAAGCCAGTGCTGGGAGCCTGGGATGAATCCCAGAGATCCTAGGGAATCAGAACCGGGTGTGCGTGTGTCAATTATTGAGGGAAAATGACCATGTTAGAGTCCCTACTATCATCAACTATCTTCACCTCAGTAGGGCCTTGTGGAAAGTGATATGCCTCCCATAATGGAAGATAGGAAAAGAGTTGGTTTATTTATGCAAGTACTCTAGTCACCTGCCTATGGGTCACTTTGGGGGTAGGGACAATGGCTTTTGGGAGCCCACAGAAATGAAAGAAGTCTGTGCACATTCGTGCATTTCATCTGCACTCCAGAATGGTAATTTCTGCTCTGACATGGATGAACTGGGAACCTCAGGCAAGTTGGCACCCTCAGGTCTTTTCTTGTGTCTGAAAGCACAGTGATGCAATCTAGAGTGCGTGTATGTGTATATATACACACACTGGTACATCTGTAGTAGTACAGAAAGATAGTTGTATATGTAAAGTACATATAAAAAATGTAGTAGTGTACATTCAGTACATAGAGTGTCAAATAATCAGGAAGCCTCTTCTTTTACAGAGGTCCAGAGATAACATACCTTCAGTTTCCAGGTTGGGTAATCTGGCTGCTTTGCAATGACATCAAAGACTGATGATCTCTCAACTTTCTGCTCTGCTGCTTTTAATTTATTGGCTCCTGCCCTCGGCGTTGCAAAGTAGTTGCAGCAGCTCCAGACAGCACATTTGCACATAACATCCACAGGTGAAAAAAGAGAGGAAAGTGCTCTTAAAAGACCCCCAGATTTCCCCTCACATCCCACTGGCCAGGATTATGTCCCATTTCTATTCCTAGACCCACCACTGGCAAGGAAAATGGACTTAAACTAGTTAAGGTTTGTGCACCCTGGTCGGCAAAGAACGGAGGGGGTAAATTCCTGCCATTCATTAGCTTATTTGCAAAATATGGATAATGATAGTAAATACTTCATAGAGTTGCCGGGAGGACTTAGTGAGCTAAAGTGCTTACAGTGCTGCCTGGCACATAATAAGTGCTCAGTAAATGCTATTATTAAATAGCATTTGTTATTAAATAGCAGTTTGTTCTATAGATGAGAAAATGCATTCAGAAGGCTTAAGTGCCTACCTGTCAGAGCTGAGACTAGAATTAAGGCCTGATTGACTCCAGAACCCACACTTTCCACCGCACCAGCTGCCCAAGTCGAAAGTGGGCAGGGATGACACCCCTGCTCTCTTCAACAGAGTAAATGGGATGATCTGTCCAATGTGATTAAATCTGCCTTGCCTTCCAGAATTGCCCCTCTGCATGAAAATTTTGAAGCCCAAGAAAGTAGAACCTGGAGCCTCTGGGATCCTGGCCTCTAAACAGTCCTTCCAGGGTGCGACGCTGGCCTGTCTCCAGCCAGGACTGTGAGGAAAACCTCGCCCAGCTGGTATCAGAGCAAGGGCTCCTGTGTACCACAGTTTGGCCTGTAAACTGATGGGCAGCTTCGAGGCCCCCAGGCCTGGCTGTAGGGCCCGCCCAGCAGCTGTGGGGAAGGCAGCGTGCTGGAGGAGCGGGTGGGCCAGCTGGTGTGGAGCAGGTGGGATTGACAGCAGCAGGAGTATCCTGAGCTCCAGCAGTGCCTCCTCAGCCCAAGGAGAAGCCAGACCTCAGGAAATGTGCCCCCCAAACCGCACCCTGGACCTTGGTCAGGTCAGCACCATGACATTCAGCTGCAAGGCCTTCCTTAGACCCTTTTCTCCTCCTCCCTGTGCCCCCTTGCCCTCAAAGACATTCCCTTCCCTTGGGGCCCCAGCCCCTCCAGCTGTTGGGCCCATTCTTCACATGGTGTCCTGGGATTAGTCGGCTGATGGGAGGGTCTGAGATGTGTGGGTGGGAGTGGATTCTGCTCCGTCTCAGCTCCTTAAAGCCAGGCCCCCAGAGCCCCAGAGACTGCTGCAGCAGCCAGAACAGCAAGAGGTAAGAGAGGAATGATCTGGTGGGATGGCAGGAAGAGGTCCAGGGTGGGCCAGTTGGGGGCTAGAGCCATAGCGGACAGAGCCGAGAGGGAGGGGGAGAAGAGAATACACTCAGGGCCCCAGAAAGGACTGCAGCCTCAGAGGTTCAAAGGCAACAAGTACGAATTTTGGTATTGGAGCAACTGAGTTTTGGCACACCCTAGGAGGGTGACGATGCCAAAAATAGGAACAGGACATTGGCTTGTGCACTTACCTCCTTGGGGAAAGAAGAGGAACACGCCCAGATGTCTCTGCGTTGTTTTGTTCGCGGCTAGTGCCTGTGTGGGTGGTGCGCACATTCATCTGCGCGCTGCCTGGAGGGGAAGAGAGCTAATGGTTATGAAGTGTCTCCCCAGCGTCAGCCACAGCGCTCAGAGTTTTACTTATGTTTCCTCATAATCCTCCCAACAACACTGTGAGGTAGGTATTTTAATCTCCATTTTACAGCAGAGAAGCCTGGCTCAGTGAGGCGGAGTAATTTGCCCAAGGTCACATGGCAAATAAATGTGTGTATCTAGAATCTGCCTGATTCCTGGGCCTGTGCTCTTTTTCCCTTTGCTGTCCAAAGTTTTGACTCAGACCCAGGACTTCTTTGTGGTCAGATCCGGGTGCAGGGGAAGGAAACAGGCTGGAAAGCCTGAGAGTTGTGAGACCTTTTCCGCCCTGCCCCAGGGGCTCCAGGCAAGCCCCTGGAGAGGACCTTCGCTCCCGAAGTCCAAGGTCGCTATGCAGGGGCCTGTCCTCAGGGTCACTGCATCATAAGCCTGTTCCTCCATCCACGGTTTGTGGAGGAGGGAGGACTGGGCTTTTTCTGGGAAGAACTCTATATTCCAGTCTGGTTTCTCCAGAACTCTCTGTTGGCTCAGCCTTGCTTGGGCTTACTGCACATGCCTGTGCCTCCACATTATCTGAACCCTACTCCATCTGTGAGGGGCGCTCCCACCCTCTCAGTCACCAAGGTTGGAAATTTCCAAGCTATCTGGGCCTCCTGCCTCTTCCTCATTTCCCCGCAGCTTGTCAGCAAGCCCATCCTACTTCCAGTGACTCTGGAGTTCATCCCCTCTTCTCCGTCCCCAGGGTGCCGGCTCAGCTCAGTCCTCATCCTCTCCCACATGGACTTCCTTGCTTCTAGGATCTGCTCCCAGCAAGGACTGAGGAAGAGGAGGCTGGGGTTGAAGGAAGGTGTTATGGAGGACTGTTCTGTGGCTAGCCTCCGCACTGACCTCTCTTCCTCTCCCTAGTCCGAGGTCTGAGATGAACGGCAGTGTTGGGGAGCCGGGTGTCCGCGGCTGCAGCCCCTGGGATGACCCTGCTCGCTTCATCGTGGTGTCCGGGCCTACGCCATGGCTCTGGGCCTGGGGCTGCCGGCCAACGTGGCCGCCCTGGCGGTGTTCGTCCGCAGCGGCAGGCGCCTGGGTCAGGCCCTGCGGCTCTACCTGCTCAACCAGGCCCTGGCCGACATGCTCTTCACGCTCACGCTGCCGCTCTGGCTCACCTACTACCTGGGCCCGGCCCACTGGCCCTTCCCCGAGGCCGCCTGCCGCGCGGCCGGGGCTGCCTACTACGCGGCCACCTTCGCGGCCGTGGCCTTCGCCGCGCTCATCAGCGTGTGCCGCTGCGGCTCCGTG